TCTGCCAGTGGGATAACGTTATCTTGACGCGTTTGACACGTTATTAACCGCGTAATGCTCGCAGAATTTTTTAGCAGAGTATCGAATTATCACTTCGCGTCGTATCCGATGTCTTATTCCAAGAAAAGAACGCTCGAGATCGTTTCGTGTTGACGACCCAACATATATATTTTTCAACGCAGGACAGTGCTCAATCGCTTACGTTCTCACGAGCAAGCTTACGCCGGTGTCGCGTCAGCGTTCCATATTTAAGAAGATAAAACGATGTATAGTTTCTAATGGTATATTACAAAATAGCGTTTAGTTTTACCTCTCTTGGATACAGCTTCATTCTCTCGTGCAATATCGTGTTGATAGAAATCTGCATTTCCGATTCGTTTAGGGACTTCTTTGTCCGTTAATACTTAATTTCACCGGATTTCACCAGGGGGCATGTCCATGAAGTATGATTTTTACCACGTCTCGGGTATAATTTAATTTTTTCTCGTAAGGACGCGTTTAACGACAGATTTCGTTGTTGTTAATAATTTAACCTGTGTCGCCGTGGTTTTCTAACAGTACAATAGATGGTGTGCTCATACAGGTCCATCGCGTACCAGTAAAGTGTTATATAGGACATACTCTCCGCGTGATTTCAGGCAAGAGAGGGAGAGCGTAAACATGATGTGTTACCATCATGATTTTCATGGATAAAGTCGTGGCGTTTGTCACGTGTTATGCACACATTTTTTTTTAGTCGTAGGTACAACGTGTTACAATCCATTAGTGCACTTCGAAGTTTCTCTCTTAGAATTCGATACGTTATTATAACGGGGAAAAAGAATACGCGTAACTTTGTGAATGTTCTCTCTAAATATGTTCGACAAAAGGAGAGAACGTTGAATGTTCTTCAAACGGAGAGTTCGATCTCCGTGCATTGATTTTGCGTAATCTCGATGTTTCAGAGATCAATGTTTATACATATAGTAATGACATATACATGTATAGTTAAATAGCGTTTCGATGAGTTAAACGAGTAAAAACGAGGCTCAACGCTGTAACACGTTAGCGGGGCGAATGCACGATGTTCAGCTTGTTTTCGAGATGAAGTATGTGAAATGAGCTGCGTCTAGTACACTTGTTCCATTATTTTCTTTCGCGTTGTTAATGGAGTTTCACGCCATCGTAAGTCATCGATTTTAGCTCGTAACGTGACAGTTTTTAGACGAACCTTCAGGGTAACCCGGAAGAGAAATCGTGACACGAGCAATACAATACCACACGATTATTTTCTTATTTGATACTCTAACTTTACACTTTGATTCTTCGCTTCTTTTTAATTTCCCAAGCATTTGCTTTTCCTAAAAAAGCCTCCTTTTATAATGTCGATTTAAGGCCGAATTTTCATGCGTAGAAAAATTCGTGGAGTGTGTCAGTATGTAAACCTGAAATATAAATTGAATGTAACGCAAATGTGTTTTTTTGCGCTGACGTGGGAAAACTCCACTGTAGGTTTGAATAAGGGGTGGGGGGAAGAAAATCGAAGAAAGTCTCTTACCATTACTTGTGATTCATCGCGAAATCTCGTCTAAAGGGGAACCAATTTCCACGTAATATGTATCTCTTCGTATTAGTGTATATTTATATCGTATTATTTTTTTCAAGTTGTTTTATTTGACGATGACGAAGCTAATGAAGAAAATGTACATGTGTGCGTGTGTGCGTGTATGAACGGCATTTAAGGGACACTTTTGGCTCCTTAAGGTCGTTGTTCCAATTTAATCTGGCGAATCGATTGTAAAACTGATTTTGTGTTTACACTCGTATTTTCCGTGTGTGATCAAAGCTCGTAAGACCGTGATCAAAGCTCGTAACACCGTGATCAAAGCTCATAACACCGTGATCGAGCCGTTAAACGTAAACGTCGATGTCTCTATTATTAAAGCTATCTATTATTATACGATGTTCAAATGATTTTAAAATCCGAAGAAGAGGAAAGAAAGCTTGTCTATCGGAGTAATTATTTTATAAGACGCAATCGAGCCGGAGTTCCATCACGTTCTTTCTAACAGCGCGAAAATTTTGTTACCATAGACAGAATGCGTCGAGCGACAAATAATATTTACTTTTCGTATAGTTGAACTCTAACTACTCAGCATCGAGTGTAATAATCTTACTTAATATAATTAATCTTGCGTCACGGATCCAATATCCAAACTGAAATGAAGAGGTTATTTAGTTTGTAATATTTTATCAAATTACATCTCTATAATCAAAAGTACGTTAAAAGTTTATACATACGAAGAAACACTCGAATAAGTGAGAGAATCGGCTCTCTCAGTGTCGTGTTATTTTGTCACAAAAGAACTTAATGTGCGGTGACATAGCGAACGTATAGTCATCCGTACTCGCTGAACGCCATTGGGCGTTTACTGCGCGCGTCGATCGGTTCGAGAGTGTTGCTTCCTGCGAACCGTTAGGAGAGCTCCAGTTTCGGCACCGGGAGAGTCTGCGAACCTAATGGAACGCCATGGAAAGTGAATTGATTGAATAGTAGAAGAAAAGAAAGGTGTACATAACTCCCAGTCGATCCTAATCTGACCAGGAGTGAACTTTTGACGGATAATACGTTGAACTTATTCAATGGGCCATTATTCGTGAATCACGAGTGGAACAGAATATTATCACTACAACATTTTATCGGTGATATCGAACAGTCATTCTAGGAAAAAGTTTACTGCCTTCGATCCTTCGCGGTCCAGTTTCTCTGTTTTCGTACGTGAAAACTCGTTTACGTTGAACCTTGCGCGGCAATTTCAAACGTGTACAAGAAAGAATAAACCAAAACTCTCGGTGTCTCAGTTACCTTACGAGTAGAATGTAGAGGGGGAAGTCTACCGACAGGCACGCTCATGCAAAGCAATTAATACCGAGATATATTCCAACTATTGGCGTGTATATTGCCGCGGAACGTTCGCGAAACCGACTATACATTCGTCGGTATTCAACGTGGTACCTGATTTTGTAACATTCTTTTCCTCGATTAACTCGTTAGCAAGGTAGGCGGGAAATATTGGCCAACGAAAAGGTCGACACACGTATTACATTTATAGGTATATACATATAAATATATATACATATAATATATATATGTATATATATATATATATATATATATATATATATATTATAT